CAGAAAGTTTAGCATTTTGTGTTTATCCAGGCTTGAATTCAACCAGGGTTGGAAAAATATTATAGCTTACGTATTGTGACCCCAGTCAATTGTGATTTACTTCATAAAAGAGCTATAATTAGCACCTCAACCCTGTAATCTCTTATTATTATAGTTCATCGCACAGTCAGCCAGATATTTAGACTAGCTTTGACACTTTTATCCACCTGAGTCTGGGAAGGACTTGAGATTGGCAGATGTTGTTTGATGGCGTTAAAGGTATTATTGTAGGATGTAAGTTACTCCAAGTAAAGCTGCCTTTTGCAATCCCAAAATATTTGAGGCACCACTTGAACTATCTCTGCATTCCCAAAATCCCCATCCGCCAATTCCAAAAGACAACTTTACTTGGAAAAACTTAAAAGTCATCTATTATTATTGGTACCATTTTGTTTGTTTTTTTCCTTTTGGCCATAAATTATTCAATAACTTAAATTATTATTTCAATTAACTGCATTAATAATAATCTAAATTATTTTATTATTTAAAATAATTTTAATTAATAATTGAAAAGAGTATGGTTGGTTGCATAGTCAGACAAATGTTTAGGCTGGATTTGGTATTTTTATCCACTGATCAAGTCTTTCCCAGAGAACTTGGATAGGCAGATGTTGTTTAATGGTCTTTGTTTATTTTTATAAATTTTATTACTTACATATTAAAATATTGGACACAGTGCAACCGTCCTGGCATTGTCTCTGCCATACACACTAAGGCATAAAACAGATAACATACTCATCATGCATTGCTAATTGTATACAATTATTCTATCTAGTATATTTACAGCATGCAATCTCGTACATTGCTAATTTTTATACATTTATTTTATCCATTGTACTCAATTATATTTGCATAAATAACACCAACTTTCCATTTTACAAATCCTAGTTATTTTCTGTTCTGGCTCCCTCCTCTCTGTTCCAAACATTGGTAAAATTTATTCCATATATCATGATATTCTGTCTCTCCTTTATTCTTTAGTTCTAACGTCAGACAAGATGTCAGTCTAACAACAAAATAGAGACTGTCTTTAATGCCAATGGTGTTCCAGTGGTGCTCCAGTTGTTTTGGGATTGCATCCAAGGCACTTATAAAAATAAAAATATAGTCCTTTGCATGCCCAGCCAGACGTTCAGACTGAAGTTGGCATTTTTGTCCACCTATCACAAGGGTCTTCAAACTTGGCAAGTTTAAGGCTTGTGGACTTCAACTCCCACAATTCCTGAGTTAACATGACTGGAGGAGGAATTCTGTGAGTTGAAGTCCACAAGTCTTAAAGCTGTCAAGTTTGAAGACCCCTGAATCAAGTCCTTCCAGATGTTGATGTTTGCTGGTGTTAGAGATGTAGTGGCCGGATGTCAGCTGTTGCAAGCAAAGCTGCTTTTTGCAATAGTAAATGAATCTCCCCACCATCTAATATTATGCATGTCTGTACATCTATCCAATTCAACTGCTGAATAAGAGCCCTTGAGATAACACACTTACCAACTGTTGGTAGTTAATTATACGTTTCTGCCATGCCCCTAAGATTAACTTCATGCCTAAACCATCAATTTAATTCCATTTACCAGAAAAGAAGTTACATCTCAGAACATATACAGGCACTCCTCAACTTACGACCACAATTCAGCTCAAAGTTTGTGTTGCTAAGTGAGAAATTTGTGAAACAAATTGTGTCCCCATTTTACAACTTTTCTTATCACCGTTGTTAAGCGAATCACTGCAGTTGTTAAGCGAATCTCGTTTCCCCGTTGACTTTGCTTGTCAGGTCACAAAAGGGGATCGTGCGACCTCGGGGCACGGCGGCTGTCATAAATGTGAGTTGGTTGCCAAGCATCCGAATGTAAATTGCATGACCCTGGGGATGCTGCCACAGCGGTTAAGTGTGAAAAATGGTCCTAAGCCACTTTTTTTTCAGTGCCGCTTTAATCCGGTCACTAAACGAACTGTTGTAAATCGAGGCCTACTTGTATAGAGTTTAGAATAGAACAGAATTAGGAATAAGAATAGAATAGAAATAGAATGAGCTGGAAGGGACCTTGGAGGTCTTCTAGTCCAGCCCCCCTGCTCAAACGGAACAGCCTCACAGGCTTTATTGTTTTTATAACTGAGAAGGGATTTCGGCAGTTTCAGAGGACGCCCTAATTCTTTCCGGGCTCCTCCGGCCGTGTAAAAGAAGAAATCCAACCGCTCTCCCCCCCTCGACCTCACCTGCATCCCCGTCGGGATCTCCCGCCCGCCGGTTTGAAAACACCTCAGCCCTCAGAGCTCTAGGGCCAATGGCGCCGGCTGGACTCCAACACGCATGCTCCGTCCCTGCCGCGCGCCCATTGGCTCACGCGGAGGCGCAAGCGGAGAGCCCGGAACCACAACTCCCAGCAGGCGTCGGGGCCGAAAGGCATCACAATGCCGGCCAGCCACACCGCCCTCTCCTGCTGGGATTTCGCAGTTACAACTAGCAGGCCGGGGAGGCGGAGGCGACGAGGGATGCTCGGAGGTGAGGGCGAGCGCCATGGGCATGGTAGTTATTGTGTCCGGGGATGGGACTTTTAAGGCCTTCGATCCCTTTCGTCCAAGCCAAGCGGGGATCTCGAGAAGACGGGAGGACCACAGCTGCCCGCCATATCTGCAAGGCAGCAGCGTCAGGAAACTCACACAAGACAGTTTGCACTTCTTTCAAAGAAATAACATTGCCAGCATGGTTTGATGGCAGTTTGTCCTGGAAAACCCCTTTCCCTGGTCTGTCTCAGGTATCCTTAGAGTCTTAGGGCTTCCTGGTGGTCTCCCATCCATTCTGACCCTCCTCAACTATTTTTATGTGCTGCTTTAAAAAGACCAGCGAGGGTTTAAGAAAATCCATGGAGCCTGGACTGGAGGATCGAAAGAACTTTCTGGGAGAAGTCAATAACAAACCACTTCATGCTGCCAATCAAAAAACAAAAAATCCATATAATGTAGGACTCAGGAGGGAACTATTATTCTGATCTAACTAATCTTTCAAAGGGATTGTTACAGCTTGATTCACAAAGATATTCACGGATTACAAAGCCAACAGAGATTTGAAGTAGTCTGTATTACAAGGCATTTCCTGAAAGCAGGACGCGTTACAATCGTGTGGAAATGTTGATAGAATATTAGGAAGTGGTTTTTGGGTGAGTTCACAATAGCCTTCAAACTGGCAAGCTTCAGCTTATGTTGAGACTACAACTCCCAGAATTCCCACCCTGGCCATCTTGATTGGAGAATTCTGGGAACTATTGCCCCAGTTCCCTCTAGAGCAACTCTTGGCAACTTTAAGCCTGGCGGACTTCAATTCCCAGAATTCCCCAACCAGCTAAAGTCCAGCAGGCTTAAAGTTACCAAGGTTGGGTACCCCTGCTCAACCATTTGGACCTCAGGAAACCACCAAACTCATAATTTTAAATCCCGCGGACCGCTAATATGAATTTTGACTGACAGTGGTTGCAGGAACAAAGTCTGTAGGAAAATTCCCCACCCCATTTTCCTACTGATCAATCATTCTTTATTTGGGATCGCAGGGTACCGTCTCCACCTCCGTTCTGGGGGGGGGGGAGAGACTTTTGGCTTCATGCAAGGAAAGCAGCAGAAGCAGCAGAGATCTTTCTTGCTCTCCCCCAAACTCCGTCAGAAGGGAGTCTTTGCTGGCACAGCCCCTTGGAGCAGGATGCCTTGAAGGGTCCCAAAGACTCATTTCTGGCAGAGTTTGGGGGAGAGAAAGAAAGACTTTTGCTGCTTTCCTTGCGTGCAGCCAAAAGCAGAAGAAGAAAGAAGTGGAAAGAAGCAGCCCGGTGGCCAGGCCAGGCACGTGGGGCAAGGGGGGGAAGTGGGCAAGTCCCCCCCTCCACCCTTTCCCCCCTCCAGTCACTACCTCGTGTTGTTCGCAATGCAAGCGATGCAAGCCTTGTGTTCCTGTGGGCTATGTGGGTGGCACAGCCTTGTGTTCCCACGCAGCCTGGATTAATTGCTTTGGGGGGTGCTTTGGGGATGACATTTCTCTCCGGACCACCAAAATTTTCTCATGGACCACCAGTGGTCCCCGGCCTACTGGTTGGTGACCACTGCTCTAGAAGGCATCAAATTGAAGAAGGCTGCCCTGGTTCAGCATTTTTTGTGTGTGTGTGTGTTTCTATGAGTGCTATTGCATACTTTTACTTCCAAAACTTTGAATAGAAGTCCTTTGAAGGAAAACAGGAGAGAAAAATCTCTTATTTTTCTCTCCTGCTGTTGGGATATCCCATGCCATTGATACATGCATCGCTTTCATATCTTTCCAGTTAGATGGATTATAGGAAAAATGCTGAAGAGGTCTCCGCAAAAGTTTTTTTCTATCTCCATGATAAAGAAGGATGGAAAGTGGTAAAATCTACGGTAAGAAAAGTATCTATGTTTGTCTTATCTGAACTAGTTGCCCCTTGCAAACAAACAAACAAATAAATATGTTTAGGCAGGATGTCTAAAGGTGCTTTTTCAAAAGGCAACTGGACTTTGTTTTCCCATGAAGACATTTCGCTTCTCATCCAAGAAGCTTCTTTGGTTCTCATCCAAGAAATTTCTTCAGTGTCTTCAGTTCTCCGGAACTGAAGAAGCTTCTAGGATGAGAAGTGAAACGTTTTCAAGTCCAGTTGCTTTTTGAAAAAGCACCTTTGGGACAACCATGATCTGGATGTCTGAGAATCCCTATAGTCACTCCTAGGCAGGAGATAGTTAATTATAAGAAAATACAGAAAGCTTTCTCCAATGAATTACTTGGGCCAAGTGGGCAATTAAAATGAGAGGTGCCCCGAGTTGTAATTCATAGCTTCTGAAATGCCATTGATTCCTTTCATTCAGCATGTGTATTTATTTAGGAATAGGTTTGCTTGCAGAGTACACAGTTTTGCTAGTAGGAATAAAACAATACTTGATGCAGCTAAAATTAAATGCATATCGCAGAAAGACAGATGGTTAATTCCTGTTCCCTTTCTTCTCTATTTGAGAAACACATGGATGTCCTGGCCAAACCTTCAACAGAATTTCCAGGAATCCTGTAAGTATCACTTTTTCTTCCAGTGCATTTTACCCACCAGAGCTGTGAAAAGTAGCGTCAACAAGCAGGATGCTTTCAAAGCGGCTTCTCCATTCTAAGAACAGCTAAAGAAGGCTGCATTCACAAATAGACATAGTGTAAGACGGAGGTCTTCAAACTTGACAGCTTTAAGACTTGTGGACTTTAACTCCCAGAATTCCTCCTCCAGTCACGTTAGCTCAGGAATTCTGGGAGTTGAAGTCCACAAGTCTTAAACCTGCCAAATTTGAAGACCCTGAGTGTAAGAGGATACGACTTGTATGAATCAAAGGGGGCGTGGTTTGATATCTTCTTCTGCTGAGGAGTCAACTATCTCATGAAACTAAGTACAGGTAGTCCTTGAGTTACAACTACAATTGCGGCCCATATTTCTGTTACTAAGCAAGTCCGTTCTTAATACCTATGGAGATTCTCAGTCATCCAGCATCACCTGAAAAAGCACCTTTGGAACAACCATGGCCTGGATGACTGAGAATCTCCATAGACTTTTAGCTATGCACTTTGGGATGAACCCTCTTCGAATGGTGTGAGAGAATGAAGGGATTTCCAGAAAAAATTGCAGATTACAGGAACCATTTGCACTTCGGTTTGAGATGCAGACAACACAGTCTCATCCCCAACAACCTTGCACTTGTCTCCCACAGCGAAGGGACACAGGGCAGAAAACATTCTGCAGCCAAGAAGGCTCCACACCCATTTGCACGACTCAGGGGATCCTGAGGACACAGACAAACCCCCCAGTGGCCTCAATGACTCTCTAAAATAATGCAAGTGACCAATGTCTGCAAGGAATATAAATCCTTCCGTTCCCCACCATCTAGTCAGACCTGAAGAAGCTTCTTGGATGAGAAGTGAAATGTCTTCAAAGAAATAAAAAAACAAGGAAGTCCAGTTGCCTCCTGAAAAAGCACCTTTGGGACAGTTGTGAATGTTGTAAGACCCACTCTGGGTCAGTCACCCAGGGCCAGAAGTTTAATCTTCTGAGCAGAAGTGGTATTCAGCCGGTTCTGACGAGTTCTGGAGAACCGGTAGCGGAAATTTTGAGTAGTTCAGAAAACTGGCAAATCCCACCTCTGGCTGGCCCCGCCCCCATCTATTCTCTGCCTCCCAAGTCCCAGCTGATTGGCTGGGTCTTCTTTGGTTGCCCTGTATAGGAGAACGGAGCTGGAAAGCAGGTTAGTGGGGCGGGGAGGGAATGGAGAGTTTACAGTAACCTTCCCCTGGACTGGGATGAGAATGGAGATTTTGCAGTAACCTTCCCCTGTCACGTCCACCAAGCACACCCACCAAGCCATGCCACGCCCACCAAGCCACACCCACAGAACTGGTAGTAAAAAAATTTGAATCCCACCACTGCTTCTGAGCTTTCAGACTCATGCTGGAGCCCATCCTCAGGGATCTTCCCTCCCACCAGAAGGTGTGCTTTGGCTATTCCATGCGTCATATTTATATGGTGCCTTCCTATTGGTTGATTAGTGTCTTGAGGGCCGGCGATTGGAGCACACAGTTGTTAATTGAGGTTTTCCCCCCTTTTATTGCCTTCCTTGTTGTATCTGTTAAGTGAATCACTACAATTGTTAGTATCCCAGTTGTTAAGTAAATCTGGCTTTCCCCTTTGACTTGGCTAATCAGCAAGTTGCAAAAAAGGCAGGGGTGGGATTCTACCTGGTAGGACCAGTTCTATAGAACCGGTGGTTATGATTCAGCCCAGTTCGGAGAACTGGCAAATTGCGCCACTGGCTGGCTCCTCCCCTCCCAACCCACTCACTCCTTACTTGGCATGCGTGCCATCAAACTTGCCTGCTAAATTGTTATTTTTCCTTTTCTTTTTCCTCGACCATCAGCTGTTCTGCTGTGCCGGGAGATTTAGATGAGCTAGAAAGCAGGAAATCTTTGGATTTCTTGATTTTTAACTAATCTAAAAGCAGAACTGAACCTTCCTTAGGACTGAGGCTTCTACTTTTCAGTATTTTTCAGACTCAGGTAGCAGTTTGCAGATAGATAGATCTCTAAGTGAATCTGTGATTCTGTGAGCAATTCAATCTGTCTGCCTGCTTTGCCTGCTTTGGCAAAAACTCAATCTGCCTGCCTGCTTTGCTTTTGGGTAAAAGTTGCTCTTTTTTAAATAAAAAATTAAATATTTACATAAATATTTACAATATTTACATACAAGCCACGCCCAGCCAGTCACGTGACCCCCAAGCCATGCCCAGTTGGTAAGCCACGCCCATCCAGTCACATGACCACTAAGCCACGCCCACAAATTAGGCCATGCCCACAGAACCAGTTGTTAAGAAATTTGAATCCCACCCCTGAAAAAAGGGGATCACATGACCTCAGGACATTGCAACCATAAATCATAAATGTGATCCAGTTGCCAAGTGTCTCTGAATTTTGATCCCGTGACTGGTGCAATGGTTGTAAGTGTGATTCCTAAGCCACATTTTTCAGTGTTGTTGTAACTTTGAGCAGTCACTGAATAAATAGTTGTACATCGAGGATTACCTACCAGTATGTGGCATGATATGAGTGGAAACGGATCTGATCTCTTTCTCTTTGATAGTTGCAGCATCCTGGGGTCTGATGCGATCCCCTTTTGTGACCTCCAAACAAGCAAAAAAGTCAATAGGGCAGCGTTTCACTTAACAGTTGTGGCAAGTAAGGTCGTAAAATGAGGCAAAACTCACTTATGAACTGCCTTGCTTAGAAATTTGGGACTCCATTGTGGTCGTAAGTTGAGGACTACCTGTAAGGGCTAATATTTTGGAGCTAATCCTTTTTTTTGATGTCTAGGAAAGAAAAGATTGGTTGTGGGAAGAAGAAAAAAAAATAACAAAGCTGTTTTCCATCATTTATCTTGTTTAGACTTAGAAAAAAGTTCTTTCATTCCACCCTCAAAGAATTATTTTTCCTTGTGTTTTTTCTTCTTCGTAACAAATACAGAACTCAGGTCCTTGAGAAGGACAAAGAATGCCAAATGCAGTATAAAACAGGAGTCCCCAACTCCCAGGGCTGTGGCCCGCTTGGAACCAGGGTCCCCTCACTAGTCCACAAAGCCAAAAAAAAGTTTGGGATCGCTCGTTTAAAGCATCTGGCTGACTGTGCCATCAACCACAAAATAATTCGTTTATTTATTGAGTCCATATGCCTCTCAACTCTTTAGCAGCTCTCATTCTTTAACAGAAGGGGCTGTTGTAGCCCGCCAGCTGCCAGCAGAGCTGGCAGCAGAATTGGACGATGAGGAGGTCGGGGGTGGGGGGAACTTGGGCCAGTTCTGGGGTATGGGGAAGGCTCTGATGAATGCTCTGCATCAGACGCAAAGAAAGAGCCAGGGCTGCCTGACATTTCCCAGTCACCGGAGAGGCAGCTGCCTTTGGAGGCTGAGATAAGTGGGGAGGAAGAACAGCTGGGGTCTGTTCCAGATGCATGTATGCGCAGAGCTGTTAGGAGAGGAGAACAACTGTGGACAAGGAGTCAACTCAGGAAGCAAAGCACACGTGAACGCTGATTGACCCCTCCCTGGCTGGGGAATAAACAGAAGGAAAGGGGAGTGGTGGTTGTAGGAGACAACAATTTGGATTTCAGAAGATTTGGCTCGTGTGTTTCATTCCTCAGAGACTGCTTGCCAGAACTTAATTTTCAGCTTTACCGCTGGGAGTTCACAGCCTGGCAATTATTTCAAGGAACTGATAAGGTCTGTTACTGCATTTAACTCTTGGAAGGACTAGTGCCTGGAGTTTTCAGTGTGTGAATGCCATTAATTCACAGGAGATAAATAAAGGGGTTTTTTTGGGACAAGGAATCTGTTTCTTGTTTCTGCTAAGGTTGAGTCAGAACAGGGGCATACAAAATCCCGCCCCCTCAAACACTTTCTTCCCCACGACAATTTATCCCTAGAGAATTTAGAAAGATCTTCCCTCAGAGATGCATTGGTGATCCTCCTTGGTTCAATTAACCCTGAAATATTTGTTTCCAGATACCGGACTGAAGTGTCGATGGAGATACCGCCTGTCAAATTATTTCCTTTTGTTTTCCGGCCTGAATATCGCAGCAAGTGGGACAAATCATTGCAGTCGTATAAAATTGTAGAAAGAATTGACCAGGTGATTCTGTGAGATAAGGAAGAGCGGCTGAATGCTGCAATTTAGCATTTAGCAAATTATGCCTTTTTCATAGGATAGCTGTTTCTAAGGGAACTGAAACATAAGACAACAATTAGCTGACTTTGGGGTGTTATTTTGAGGATATAGATTAGAGGTAGGGAACTATTGTTTGTATGACTTGTGGTCTTCAACTCACAGAATTCCTGAGTCAGCTAGGCTTGCTCAGGAATTCTGGGAGTTGAAGTCCATGAGTCATAAATGGGCCAGAGTTCCCCATCTCTGTTATAGATAGCATACCTTCTGGCACTCAGTGGTTGCTATCTATTAACCTTTTGAGGTAGTCCAGCGAAGAGGGTACAACTATACTACTGTAGCTTATTGTAACTGTACAGTAGCAGAATTTTGTAAATATGAATTTTTTTGCTCCCTCTTTTCCTTTTGTCTTTCATTGTCTGGAAACCTAAGGAAAGGTCCACTCTGGACTAAAATACCTTTTGTATGATGCTTATGTAGTCCAGGGATATCAAACTCAAGGCCTGGGGGCCAGATATGACCCATGGGGTGCTTAAATCTGGCCAGCAGGGCTGTCCTGGAAACAGTGAAGGACCAGCTTGCAGTGCCTCTGCCAGCAAAAATGGAGCCTGCAGTCCTCCCGAGCTCCATTTTTGCTGGCAGAGGGTTGCAGGATGTCATCAGAGCCCAAAACGGAGCTCGGGAGCCCGTTTTCACTGGCAGAGCAGTCAGGCCCACCACAGGCATCCCCAACACTAGTGACATCGAGTTGGCCACGCCCAGAGGTGGTATTCAGCAGATTCTGGCCAGTTCTGGAGAACCGGTAGCAGAAATTTTGAGTAGTTTGGAGAACTGGCAAATGCCACCTCTGACTGGAGATTTTACATTATCCTTCCCCTCTGCCACGCCCACTAAGCCATGCCCACAGAACCGGTAGTAAAAAAATTTGAATCCCACCACTGGCCACGCTCACCACAGCCACGCCCACCACAGCCCCCTGAGGTCAAACACGAACCTGGTGCGGTTCTCAATGAAATGGAGTGTGATACCCCTGATCTAGTCTGTAGTCCTCCACCTGTTTTCTAAGGTCACTGCCGCGTACCCCTACAGCAGGGCTGGTGAACAATGGCCCTTTTTATGACTTATGGCCTTTAGCTCACAGAATTCCTGAGCCAGCCATGCTGGTTCAGGATTTCTGGGAGTTGAAGTCTGTGCAAGAAAAGTGTGCACTTTAGGATAAAATGGAAAACCAAAGCTGCATTTAAACATTACGCAAAACTATGATGTATTTGGTTTTGTGAACTTCCTGTTTTGGGTTCATCTATTTATCAAATATAGTTTTAAAAAATGTGGTTAGGCGTGAAGTAGATCCTTTGTCTATTTTCTTTCACCTTGTGATTGACGTGCATAATTGGCTGGCTGTTTCATTAAAATCATCTATACACTATCATGTTGCATGAAAAAAAAAACATGTTCAAAGAAAAAACAAGAAAGTCCAGTTGCCTCTTGAAAAAGCACCTTTGGGAAACCATGATCTGGATAAGAGTATCTCCATAGACATTTAGCTGTACACTTTGGGATGAACATCCTCGAATGGTGCGGGAGAATGAATGGATTTCCAGAAAAATTGCAGACTACAGGAACCATTTGCACTTCAGTTTAAGATGGAGAAGAGACGCAGGGCAGAAAACACAGCTCCATAACACAGTCCTTTCAGCAGTTCCAAGAAGGCTCCACACCCATTTGCACTACTCAGATGATCCAGACAAATCTCCAAGTGGCCTCAATGACTCTGAAAGAATGCAAATGACCAGCTGTCTGCAAGGAATGTAACTCCCTCTGTTCCCCAGTATTCAGTCAGAGCTGAAGAAGCTTCTTGGACGAGAAGCGAAAAGTCTTCCAAGAAAAAATAAGAAAGTCCAGTTGCCTCTTGAAAAAGCACCTTTGGGACACCCATGACCAGGAAGATTGAGAATCTCCATAGACATGAAAAAACACAATTTGCCTAGGTTCGCACAATATGCAGTCTGTTTAAGTCTAATATCTGCATAGACATACTGCTATGATCCTGAAAAGTTTGCTCCTTCTCCATTTTGGGAGTATAATGCAGTGTTTTCCAACTGTGGCAACTTTAACCAATGTGTGGACTTCAACTTCCAGAATTTACCTGCTAGCATGCTAGCTGGGGAATTTTGGGAGCTGAAATTCACACATTTTAAATTTGTCAATGTTTAAAAATATTGGTATAATGAGCAACAGAATACAGAATAGAGAATAATAAGAGTTGGAAGGGACCTTGGAGGTCTTCTAGTCCAACCACTGTTCAAGTAAGAGAGACTATACTATTCCAGAGACATGGCTATTTCTATTAAAGGTTTCCAGTGTTGAACCACCTGCAACTTTTGAAGGCAAGCTGTTCTACTGGTTAATTTATTTATTTATTTATTTATTTGATTTGCCAATTGTTTACAAGATAAGTATAAGTGTATACATAGTTGTGAATACATGAAATGGGTACATATAAGAAAAATAAAAGAAGAATAAGAGAAACAATAGGACAGGGACGGTAGGCACGTTGGTGCGCTTATGCACGCCCCCTACAGACCTCTTAGGAAAGGGGTGAGGTCCATAGTAGACAGTCTAAGGTTAAAGTTTTTGGGGTTTGGGGAAGAAACTACAGAGTCGGGTAGAGTATTCCAGACATTGACCACTCTATTGCTGAAGTCGTATTTCCTGCAATCAAGTTTGGTGCGGTTAACTTTGAGTTTGTATCTATTGTGTGCTCTTGTGTTGTTATGGTTGAAGCTGAAGTATTCATTGAAAGGTAGGGCATTGCAATGTATGATTTTATATACCATGCTTAAATCAGACCGAAGACGGCGTAATTCAAGGTTTTCTAGTTCTAGAATTTCAAGTCTGGTGGCATAAGGTATTCTACAACGAGTAGAGGAGTGGAGAACTCTTCTTGTGAAATATTTCTGGACTTTCTCAATTGTGCTAATATCAGATACGTAATGTGGGTTCCAGACTGATGAACTGTATTCGAGTATTGGTCTAGCAAATGTTTTGTATGCTCTGGTTAGTAGTGTGATATTACCAGAGAAAAAGCTACGTAGGATTAGGTTAACAACTCTTAATGCCTTTTTGGCTATGTAGTTGCAGTGGGCTCTAGCACTCAGATCATTAGAGGTGAGTATTCCAAGGTCCTTTACAGAGCTTGGGTCATTGTTCTCACGGTTAGGAAACCTAACCCATTTTTTACTTTATGTTTTAGTATTTTATGTGAACAACCTTGTAAATATGGATTAATTCAATAACTAAGTTAGAGATGTGAACATAGCCAATGAGTTTGATCTAAAGATAGAATTGTTTCTAAAAGTACAAGAAATGTTCTTGCAACCAACCATGGGAACCTTTTCTAAAAGAACCGACCATATCTAAAAACATGGCGCTCAGCAGTTCTACTTTAGGGCCATCTAATGTTTGGAATCATTTAAGCAACATTTTTCTTCTGCATAACAGATTTGTTGAATGGGTGATTAGTGGTAAGCAGGATGTAGAAATATGAAGTCCTCTATAAATTAATAGGCCATATTCTTTATAGGTACCGTATATGCCGGCGTATAAGACGACCCGGCGTATAAGACGACCCCCCAACATTTCCACTCAAAATATAGTTTGTTATATACTCGCCCCCTCTTCCGCACGCCTTCCACTTTTGCACTTTTTTTTTTTTTTGAGGCACTTTTGTGCACCGTGGAAACGAATCCCGTGAAGCCGAAAGGAGCAGCCAGCCTTCTCCCAGCTCCCAAGGAAACGAGGCTCGCACCGCCCGAGCTCCGCTGAGGTATCCGGCTGGGGCTGTCAGGAGTTGTTACTGCTGGCGCGGCTCCGCGCGGCTCCAGTCCCGCGTTGCCTCGGGAAGGGAAAGGCAAAAAGGAAGAGCCGCGGCGGCGCTTTGCAATGGCAGCAGCGGCTCCTGGTTTTGCCTTTCCCTTCCCGAGGCAACGCGGGACTGGAGCTGCGCGGAGCCGCGCCAGCAGTAACAACTCCTGACAGCCCCAGCCGGATACCTCAGCGGAGCCCGGGCGGTGCGAGCCTCGTTTCCTTGGGAGCTGGGAGAAGGCTGGCTGCTCCTTTCGGCTTCACGGGATTCGTTTCCACGGTGCGCAAAAGTGCCTCAGCCGCGGGCAGCTGCAGTGCTTCCCAATTACTATTTGCCGGCGTATAAGACGACCCGGCATATAAGACGACCCCCCCAATTGGAGGCATCTTTTTCAGGGCAAAAAAGTCATCTTATATGCCGGCAAATACGGTACATAAAGAATATTTGTTCTGTGTCAATTATATGTATTAATTTATTCAGTGAAGAATTGTAGTGAATAGTGTTTAAGTCACTCACAAGTAGTTCAAACATAAAAAAATGACTTTACAAACCTAGTCTTTAAATAAGGTCCACTGATGGGGCAATAAAAAGTATTTCAGGCTAAAAATTGCATAATTTGATTTACACTTTTTTTCTAAGTTGACAGCCTACCTGTTTTAATTCACTAGGCAGCATTTTCATTTGTGGACTTTTTTAAATTAAACCATAGGACACCTTCATTTGTCACAGTATTACCCACAGTTACGGCTTTGGAATGGTTTCGCCAAGAGATTTTGTCTTTATGCTGCACTTAAAAACCTATGATGGAAATTTAATGACAACAAACTGTAAGTAATTGTTTACTGGGAGAAGATAAAAATTATGGTGTTTAAGTGATAAATGTGCCTGCAGACCCAAATATTCAGGAAAGGAAGATCTATGCAATTAGTTAAACAACTGAAGGAAAAGAACAGGAGGAACTGAGGGCAGAGTTAAATGAGTTATCAACCTAGAATTGTTATTTTCCCATAAAAGGTTGAAGTCAATCCCCTCTTGAATTCTGTTGACCCACATCTACCTTGAATTTAACATTGAATGGTAGTTGACTAGATTCTTATGTATTAGTTTGTGAAATACTTTTTTTTTGACTTAACAGTTTGGTCCAGATACTTTGGCAGCTTAACAGTTTGGTCCAGATTCTTTGCACCTAATAACAACTACTAATTTCTTTGTCCCAGTAAAACAATGTCCCTTCAGACTCATATTTCTATGCCTTGCCAGTGGACTGCAGTTGATAGTCATTTGAGTGGCAAGTCCCCCAATTTTGCTGCTTTTTATTACTTTGGTGAGATTTGGTGAGATGAGGGTGCTTTAAGTGATAAACTGGGTACCCTAAGTCTTATGGAACAGCTCAATTTTCCCAGTCTTTCAAGAGTCTAAAGCAGCATTTTTCAACCTTAGCAACTTATTGTAAAGATATATGGACTTCAATTTTCAGAATTCTGTAAGTTAAAAGCCCACACATCTTGAAGTTGTGTTAAGGTTGAGAAACACTATTCAGAATGGTGAAATTGTTTAAGAAGTCAATTTCAGCTTTTAATCTGTTTCATTTATTCAGAAAGTAGTTTTTGAGGACTCACTGGGTATAAGATTCCATCTATCACACACCAGGGGTGTCCAACCTTGACAACCTCTGGACTTCTAGTGGAAGTAAGACTTGTGGACTTCTACAGCCAAGTCTTAAAGTTGCCAAGGTTGGACACCCCTGATCTATTCTAGATCATGTCATCATCCTATCTTTTATGTCAGAGTTTATCAGAGGGACTGTCAGGAGGGGTCTACAATAACTCGTTGAGACCAATTATCCAATGGCCAATTTGCCACAGGACAAGAGTTGCACTAATATTGAAGAAATACTCTAATAGAATCATTAAAGAAAGCCAAAGGAAGGACAAACTAAAATGTGGATGATTAAAAATTAAAACAATTTTTAATTATTTTGAATAATTAAATTGTTCTATAGTGAGTTGTTCGGTTGTGAGTTGGCCATGGTGAGTTGACTATAGGTAAGTTGTCCCATTCTGGTCAGGTGTGTTGTGCAGGCTAACAATACTCATTTTCTTAACAAGCTTGCTTAGAAGGTCCTACACTTCTTGATAGTGTCAAACTGCCAAAAAGAAAAAAAAAGCTACCTGAACTCCATTGTTGGATACATAAACACCTTTTACTTTTACTTCAATGATCAGCATGGTCTGTGGTTTAAATGAAATGAATGATGTATCAGAGTCGGCTGGCAGTCAGGACTCCGATATGCACCCCCATTCAAATCATAAGTTTCTAGCTGCATCTCTCACAGTAAAAAAGTTTGATTTATTAAGAGTTGACATGTCAGTGTTTCCCAGTTGCAGCCGATTCTGACACATTGATTCATTTCACTCTTGACCCTGGTCTTCCCCCCACCCCCTGGATGTATATTCTCCAATGAGACACATCCATAGCCAAGAGTCATCAATCATGGTCTCCAGTAATAATTTTGCGGGCCAGAAGCTTTGGTTGCCAAAGCAATTATCTGAAGCATTTAAGGAATGCACTGCTTTCCTCCACTCCCTTTCTGCTGACAACTAAAAAGACCAAAGAAGTATTTTTTAGTTGACACTGATTTCATATTTGGATGGCTGACAGATTCAGACAGCTTGGCTGTTTAAACAGATTTCAACATTTGCTTTGTACTTTCTTATAGCCATCAGTGTGGTTCATCCTAATTTACCTCCAACTCCAGCTTGTATTCGGGGCACCACTTTCTCTTCTGGCTATGCCTGTCTTCCACTACCAGGGTAAGGATTTTGAGCTACTTCACTGCAGAAACTTTTATTCCTGGGAAAACATTTAACCTGAAAGCTGGAAGCACTCTAAATGAACTGGACTCTACTCATTTGCCAGAAGTGCCGAAGGATGGCTTGATATTATTACCTGAATCGTAAACTTTTAAAGATCCCGTAATCCCTTGCGGGGTGGAGTTTTGGACAACTGAATGGAGCAGTGTGTTTACTGGCCGGATGCCCTTCCTGTCACCAATGCAGAGTTCTGTTCAGCAGATATATCCACATTGTGCCCAGAAAGATAAATATCTGCCTCTAACCTAGGATTGAACTCACAGCCTCCTGATTGTGAGGTGAGAGCTCCACCTCTAGGCCATCGCACTACTCATATTATTACCTGAATGTGTAGATGTAATTCTTCCCATGCTCATCTTTAAAGAGTTTGTTGGAGAAAACAGATCCAAAGTTTATTCGAGTGCTGCAAGCCAAGCTTAAACTGTGATCAGGGTTAGAGTTAGGGTCCAACTATTGATCGCCTCCTGGGGGGAAGAGAAGCAGGAAAAGGTCATAGGGATCCCTGCACTTAGCAGAAGTTGAAATCCACTGATCCACATTGGATTCAGAGAAGGTGGGGAGGGAGGTTCCTCAGAACTCTTACTGTTAAAACCCCATTCTTCTTTTTTTCAGGAACCCAGAGCACACCAAACTTATGATGGTCGTCCAGGTGGATTTGGGAGGCTTTCTAATGCCTTCGGTGATCAATTCCGTTATGCCCATGAGCCTCATAAACTTTGTGACCGATTGCAAGAGTGGATTAAAGATGTTGAGACAATCAGGGACATAAAATCCCCTGCCAGAGGGTGCAAGGAAGCTTGTCTTCAATACACAACAGACCCACGTTTGGTCTAATGTCAAGAAGAGATAGGCAAGTTTTTTGGGGGTCAAGAACTTCACTCAACATTTGGGGGGGAGGGATGCAAACCCCCCATCTTTCCCAGCCCCTTCTTTCCATATTTGGAGGAAAGAATATTGTCAGTTTGTAAATATCTGTAGAGATTCTTGGTCATCCAGGTCATGGTTGTGCCAAAGATGCTTTTTCAGGAGGCAACTGGACTTTCTTGGTTGTTTTTTTCCTGAAGATGTTTCGCTTCTCATCCAAGAAGCTTCTTCAGCTCTGGCTGGATGGTGGTGGGGAATGGAAGGATGTATATTCCTTGCAGACAGCTGGTCATTTGTATCCTTTTAGTGCAAGGGTCTTCAAACTTGGCCAGTTTAAAACTTGTGGACTTCAACTCCCAGAATTCCTGAGCTAACATGACTGGAGGAGGAATTCTGGGAGTTGAAGTCCACAAGTCTTAAAGCTGTCAAGTTTGAAGGACCCGGTTTTAGAGGGTCATTGAAGCACTTGGAGGTTTATCTTGTGTCCTCAGGGTCACCTCAGTAATGCTCCTGGTTCCTGTAGTCTGCAATTTTTCCTCTTGGAAATCCGTTCCTGCTCCCACACCATTTGAAGGGTGTTCATCCCAAATTGCATAGCTAAAAATCTGTAGAGATTCTAGATAATGGTTGTCCCAAAGGTGCTTTTTCAGGATGAGAAGCAAAATGTCAACAAAGAAAAAAAAACCCAAGAAAGCTCAGTTGCCTCCTGAAAAAGCACCTTTGGGATTGTCAGTTGGTGGTGTTTCCAATCTCAAGATGGCAGGGAGTCATTCAGCTGGTTTTTGGCAGTTATGGCAGTTATGGTCACAAGCAGCTTCAGAGGCCAACAAAAGAGGACGTGTGCATCATGCAATTTCCTCAGGTTGCCAATACCTGATGTAAAGGACTACAGGCACCACAGTTAGCCCTTGATTGATGCCCGTAATTGAACTTGAACTTAGGGCTGTAAGCCGTGCTAATTGTAGTAGTAACTGTGAGAGGGACCTTGGAGTCATAGTGGACAACCATTTAAATATGAGCCAGCAGTGTGCAGCCGCCGCCAAAAAAGCATTAACAGAGGGATAGAATCAAGATCACGGGAAGCATTAATAACACTTTGTAATGCCTTGGTAAGGCCACACTTGGAATATTGCATTCAGGTTTGGTAGCCACGATGTAAGAAAGATGTTGAGACTCTAGAAAGAGTGCAGAGAAGAGCAACAAAGATGATTAGGGGACTCAAGGCTAAAACATATGAAGAACGGTTTCAGGAACTGGGTATGTCTAGTTTGATGAAAAGGGGAGACATGATAGCAGTGTTCCAATATCTCAGGGGCTGCCACAAAGAAGAGGGAGTCAAGCTATTCTCCAAAGCACCTGAGGGCAGGACAAGAAGCAATGGGTGGAATCTAATCAAGGAGAGAAGCAACTTAGAACTAAGGAGAAATTTCCTGACAGAACAATTAAAAAAGTTGTAAATGCTCCAATACTGGAAGTTTTTTAAAAAGATGCTGGAAAACTGTGTTCTTTCCTGGCTGCTGTTTCTAAAATGCAGCTGGAAGCAGATTTACTGATCAACCAAACCATGGTGAATAATAGATAGGTTTTCTGAAGACTGATCTAACTGCCATTTCTATGGTTCCCCCCCAGGGGTGGGATTCCAATTTTTTAACAACCGGTTCTGTGGGCGTGGCTTAGGTGGTGGGCGTGGCTTGGTGGTCATGTTATTGGCTGGGTGTGCCCAACTCAATATCACTCACATTGAGGCACGCATCTCCTCGCCTGGCCTCTTCATGACTGTGGGGATGCTGCAACAGTCGTAAGTGTGAAAAATGGGTCACAAGTCACTTTTTTCAGCGCCATTGTAACTTTGAATGGTCACTCCACACAAGCAAAGTACCAGCAAAGGAGGGGAAAATAACTCCAGAGAGGTTCCTGAGATAGGAAGTCTAGTCCTGCCAAGAATGTAATGAGGATTAATGGAGAGGCAGTTACAACACCAGAATGTAAGGACTGCCTTCCCTACAGGATTAGGGCAGTAAACTGGAAAAAAACAAAAGATTTTTTCTAACAACTAGTTCTCCGAACTGCTTAGAATATTAACAATCGGTTTTAGCGAATAGGTGTGAACTGGTAAAATCCCCCCCCTGGTCCCCCCCCCAAATACTTATAACTGACTTCTTCTCAGTCTCACATTTGCTTTCTAAAATGTTTCTAGAAAGTGGCACAGCCATTTTGAGAGGGGGAACCAAGACCAAAGAAAGGCGCTCTACTCTGGAGGATTACCTGTATTCTCAGGCCTATGCCCTGCTTGTGGTGCAGCGGTTAGAGTGCAGTACTGCAGGCTACTTCTGCTGACTGCCAGTTGCCTGTAATTTGGCAGTTCGAATCTCACCAGGCTCAAGGTTGACTCAGCCTTTCATCCTTCCGAGGTTGGTAAAATAAGGATCCAGATTGTTGGGGGACAATATGCTGACTCTGTAAACCTCTTAGATAGGGCTGTAAAGTGGTATATAAGTGCTATTGCTATTGTTCTTCCATTGGCAAGAATATGTAAGCCTATAGCAGTGTTTCTCAACCTGGACAACTTTAAGGTGTCTGGACTTCAACTCCCAGGATTTTCAATCCAGTATGGCCATCGCTAAGAATGCTAGCGATTAGCATTCACAAATCAAAGTAGACCAGGATGGTGCCCTAGCCTCTAGTATCTATGACTAAGGAAATGGAGACAAATTACTGCGACTGCTTTGTATTTCAACATCTTTTTTACCTCTACCCATTCTTCAAATTTTAAGGGACATTTATTTTATGGTAAACCATTTTCATGCTCAGGAATGTAAGTGTCAAAATTGTACAGGAGGTCTGTTTTATTTGCAAATATGCAAAATATAGCCTTTGCTTTCCCACTCTGATACATTTACAATATATTTGCAGTGACAGTTGTCAAATTTCCAAGCCCTAAACACACCTTTGCTTGAAGAAAGGCTCTATCTCCAGATACATAATTCATCTGCAAGCTTAGTCTCTCCACCAAATTGTAGTCATCTTGGTTTGAAATAGCGTAGTAAACTATTTGACCCTGGAGAGGACGCCTGTCCTTTCTTGGTTCCTTTAAGTGTCACAACTTTGCTGACATGCATTTTGGAAGCACACTTTTGACTCTTCCATTCGGTTAGCAGTTCTTCCTGCATCTCTGCAGGCAGCTCAGAAAAAGTTTTGGGATCCACAGAAGGAGGAAGGGCCACTTTTGATCCTTGGCTTGAATGATTTTGGGAAGAGCCTTCTCCATGGGGATTTTGTCTTTCCACTGGTGGTTCTTCATTTGTGGGTGCAATGCCAGAAAACGCCAGAGTTCTAGTACTTTGACCAAGGTCTCCAGAATGTAGGGAAATAGAGCTTATTTTCGTTTTTGGATGGCATGGTGATTTTTCCCCTAGTTCAGATCTTCCTTGGCTCCACAAAGTCTCTGTGGAATCTCTAACCTTTTGGCTAGAGAATATTTCCTCCTTAATGTCACTTGGAAGCTGGTTGAACACATCGTAATCTATTCCAGCAGGAAGTAGTGGACTTGGGCATTGAAGATCATTTGCTTTTGGCAGACAAGGAGTATGGACCTGAGATTGGACACATCTTGTGTTTCTCTCTCCTGATAAAACATCACTGTCTTCCCCTTGACGTTCCATCCTTGTATTTTCTGAGTTTCTGTCTTCTGTTGTCTACATAGCAAATGAGAACTCTTTTAAACTACATGCAAAAGAGAATAATTCTACAATCATATCATCATCTCCTTTTAACAAACCCATAATCCCTTGCAGGGTGAAATCTGTGCAACTGAATGGAGCTCAGTGTTTACTGGCCGGATGCTCTTCCTGTTGCCAATGCGGAGTTATATTCAGCAAATATATTCTCAGTGTGCCAAGAGAAATATTTGCCTCTACCTAGGATTGAACTCACAGCCTCCTGATTATGAGATGAGAGCTCCACATCTGGGCTACCGCGCCACTTGTTGTTCTACAATCATATATGCATGATAAATTGTGGGTCCCTCTCATAGTATCTGTATGTTTGAATATATGTATTCAAATATTCTTGTAATATTTAATGCATATTAATCGAAAAGTGGGAAGGAGCAGACATGGACACCTATAAAACTGTCACGGACTAGGAGCAAACCAATTTGTCCACCTCAGTTAATTCTAGGTGGAGACAGACAAACAAGCCTGATAATCGATATTTTTAATTCTCCACCATCTAAATTGGCTAAAATGTACCCAAATATATCCCCTATATGTTGGAAGTGTAACAAGGAAAATAGAACGTATTATCATCTATGGTGGAATTGTAAGAAAGCCCAAATGTTCTGGCAGAAAATCTAGAAACGGTTAGAAGAGATGTGTGAAATTAAAGTAGAATATAGACCTAAATCTTTCTTGTTGGGAATTAATGTGGGAAAATACGACAAAGATATAATATATTTAATAATCCATGTAATCACGGCTGAGAGATTGGTTTATGCCCAAAAATGGAAATGTAAAGGAACTCTAGGTGAAATAGAAATAATTAGGAAAATTATTTCTGCGCAGAAATGGATAAATTGACACAAGAATTAAAAAATAAGGATGATTCTGATTACTACAAAATATGGGAAAAGTTTTATAACTTGTGTGGAAGCTAGGAAAGATCAAAAATATAAACAAGGATTAATATTTATGTATATATTATATACTATGTATATAAAATGTAAAGATGTATTATTCTTTATATGAATTAGCGATGTAAGACAACTAGGTGTGTCAGGACGATTGTACCATGTCCATTGTTTTTAAATGTCTTTTGTGTGTGTGTGTGTGTGTGTTTGTTCAATAAAAAATTTTTAAAAGATATTTTTAATTCAGTTTATCCAATTATTCCATAATGACCTCTCGTGATAGCTGTCACCTTTGGCAACCTTCTGGTGATTAAAATCAATGGGGAACCCAGATTCACTTAATGAGCACATTGCTAACTTAACAACACCAGTGATTCACTTAATTACTCAATTGCGGTCGTTGAGCACTAGCTGTGGTAAAAAAACGAGGAACAAAAGATGGCAAGAACTGGGCAACACGAACACAGCAAAATTACTCAGTAGGAGCTCCAATCATGGTTGCCAAGGGCTTGGGTGTACAAGGCCC